AAAAAAAAAAAAAAAAAAAAAGGCACCCGAAAAAGAACTTAAAAAGCAGTAACAGAACTACTTTGCAATTTAAGTGCTGAGCTCTGATACGAAAAACAGTGTTTCTTTCCACCAGCCCAAGCTCCCTGTAATTCTAGCCTGCATCTCTTCTCTCACGGGAGACTTTCTTAGGGTGTTGGGCAGAGGGCCCCTCACTGGAAAGCCAGCACCAGCCATCCACCCTGGGTGGCTCTGTGAAGCCACGAGCGAGCCGACGCGGTGGGCACCTGCGAGCTGGGGAAGGGGCAGAGCCACGCAGGGTTCCCACTGACGCTCAGGCTGCAGAGAAAAGAGCCGCAACGTGAAGAGAAAAAAGGAGAGAAATCCTGGGATGCTACAAAAGGACTTTAGGCATTAACTTTCGGTTTCCACTTGGGACAGTTAAGCAAGGTTGGACGTTTGAAGGAAGCACACAGACCTGCGAATATTTGGGGAATATTTTGCCTTTAGACGTGCCTGGCGCTAAATAAGGAGCATGGTTAAATGTTAAGGCGACAGTGGTTTTTAATGAAATGTTCAATTTTTGGATTCAAACTTTATCACAAAGCTCTTTATGTCCATTTACTTAGTACTAAATGGTGTGTGATAAACAAAATGCTCGCGAAATGCTTCCGAAGGGATAAGAGGCGTGTTGCCTGGGCTGCCCTGAAAAGCAAGGCTCTGCACCGACCTCTATGTGGCTGCCAGTGCCCACTCTGACTGCAGCTCAGGGTGGCCAGGCAGAAATCAAGACGGGGTGAAGGGCAACGTGGCCACGCGGCTCACCATCGTGCATCACAGCTGTGCTCAAGCAGCCCTTGTTAGCCAGGTAGGCAATGAACCTCACCCACAGACCCAACATGGTAGGTAATTCCCGCTGTCGACGGAGGAAAAGTAAGGGGTCTGGACAAGCTCTATGCTTCTGTGAGGGTGAAACCCAACTGTACAGTGTCCTGAGGATTCTAAAAAATCTATGCCACGGGGTTAGGATAGAGGGGAAAGGTTGGGGGAGCAGGTGCAGAGAGGAAAGTTCTAGGTGTAGGAGAGAGTTTTGCATCTTGAGCTCTCCCTCCACTGACCACCACTCATGCACTTGGTCTGCGATGTACGACTTACCACCTGACTCTGCAAAGCCTTGGCTCAAGCTCTGTTGGTTTCGGGCGTACACGGAAGGTCTCTGGTGGGATGAGGCCCCTCCGGGAAGGCTAGGGACAAAGGCCTGGCCTGCTTCCCCTAGAGCTGCGAGGCGCTGAGAGCAAGGCGGGCCCTCAGCGGTACCCGTGGATTAGGTGACTCACTCCCGAATGGTTAGCGACCCTGCGGCACCGTGGCGGAGTGCAGGGTCCCACACTGTGTACTGGACCACCTGGGCCCAGAGCAGCTCCTTTCAGTGATCCGGGTGGGAGCCCAGGTGCTGACAGGTTTTTAAAGCTCCCCAAGTAATTCTTCTTCCCTCCCCAAGTAATGCTAACGGATAACCAGCCTGAGAGCTACAGGAAGATGGGGGGGGGGGGGGCACGTGTCTTAGAATCTGACAGACCTGGCCTACAGCTACCCTGAGAGTCCCTGGGCCACCCAACCGTGTTTCATTCTGTTACAGTGTCCTCTCCTCTTTGGGGCTGATGACGCCTGCATTTAACGGGTATTCAGAAAGACCATGCCAGAACAAATGGAAAGCATGGTGCCCAGCACGCAGTGAGCACTTACCTGGGACCCCTTCCCTGCTCCTCTCGCAGGACATGCACTCATGTGCTAGACTCCAGACCACAGCAGAGCCAGGACCAGGGGGAGGAAAGTTTGGCCCCCAGGGTACCAAGTTTAGGGGAGCACTGGTTCAGAGAGTCAGGCAGGGGCAGGGGAGGCACCGCACAAGCCTGAAGAGTGCCTTCTGAAATTCCACACCCTGATGCCACCCCTCCTGCACCCCAGCCCCAGTTCTGTGCAGAAATGCCCCTCTTACCACTCGGGCACTGTGGACATGCTGTGAGATACAGGACTTCGTTTTCTTAATAAATTGCTTTGGATTTAGAACTGATCCGGACAATTAATTTGGTCATTTGCAAAACATTCCTGGAGCATTTACTATGAAATCTTGGCAGATTCCACAGATTTCTAGAGCTGTCAGGGAACCTAAAGAAAAATCCAGCCGACCGTCTCATTTTGTAGATGAGAATGGAGGTCCATGTAAAAGTGACCTGCCAAGGTCACACTACAAGTTGGTGCCAGGCCCAGGGCCCCACCCCAGTGCTCTCCCCGCACAGCACACAGACATGAATCCCATGGGCTTAGCTTTTTATTTAAAAAAAAAAAAAAAAAAAGTACAAAGAAACCTTTGGGAGCTTACGCACAACGTCTCCTCATTCACTCACTCGCACTCTCACCTGTGCCAAACCTCCGATCTCTTTGACGCAGATGTAGAGCCGGAACAGGTCCAAGGGCTTCTTGCCCACCGCGGGCAGACTGGAGACGGGGGAGCCTCTCTCTTCCATGAAGGTAAGGTATCGGTCGACCCACAGCTTTCTCTCTGGCTCATTCCCCAACTCATACACCTTTGTGATCTTTTCCCCAGTGGTGGTGGATGAGCTGGACTTCTAGCGCCCAGAAAGAGCATTTGGAAGTGGGGAATGGGTGGGCAGAGGGAAAGGGAAGAAGGTGAGAAAAAAGTAATGAGCTACCAAACACAAGAAGAGAAGAAATTTAAAAACTACCGCTATCACACAACAATCAGGAATGAAGGCTACTAGTTCAGGCACAAACTATACATTTTCTTAATTAAGACTTTACTTTGACTTTAAATAAAGGGCCCAAACTCCCCCTTTTATATACTTAAAAAAAACCAAAAAAAAACAAAACCCTTTTTCACTTGATTGATATAAGCGTTGAATCCCAGAAGGCAAGTTTCCAAGGACGCCCCATGTCACTTTTAAAAATAAGAGGGTGCGAGTTCATAGAAGAATCACAGTGAACTTAAAACTTCACATTTATGTAATATTATAGAGCCCAAAAAACTAAACGGACTCTTGTTTTTCCTTGTTAAAATAAGTCAACAATGTGTGTCTTCATTAAAATGCTAAATCTTATGGAGAACAGATATGGGACTTGCTGAAATATAGAAGGTAGGTCACAATTCATAGGGACCAGTGGTGTGGTTTCTGCTCCTTTGTAAGCTTTATTAACTAAGCCAGCTAAAGTTTTGGCATTTACTCACGATGACTAGCTTTCCCTACGTAAGGTTTCTTGGACTTCTCTGCCAAGGCAAGGCGCTTGTAGGAATTGTTTTAACAGATTTCTCAGGCAACCATGCTTTAATCACAAACACATGGGCTATTTCATATTCCCTGCAGATCTATGGATACATATATGTGTTTACTTTTATACACATGGGTTTATGTGCTCGTGTGGTTTATACTGAAGCTCTAATTCTTATCTTCGGTTTTCTAATTCTATGTGATAGTAAAATGTCAAAATTTGCTGTTTGTGCACAACTGAAGCCCACCTTCTGGATTATGTGATCTGGGAAGCTAACATTTTTGGTACAGCCCAAATGTATGTTTTTCTTTTATGCCTCTTATGTCTGTAACAATAACTTGTGTGCTTTAATATCTGCAGTTCCAGGGCTGCTGTGAAAAATTCACTTCTAAATTCTCAATCAAGATTTCCTTGGAACAATAATTTACTTCCTCATGTGTCTTTACCAGCTTATCATTTGCAATGGATAGTCCTCATTTTATTAAAAAAAAATTTTTTTTTCAACGTTTATTTATTTTTGGGACAGAGAGAGACAGAGCATGAACGGGGGAGGGGCAGAGAGAGAGGGAGACACAGAATCGGAAACAGGCTCCAGGCTCTGAGCCATCAGCCCAGAGCCTGACGCGGGGCTCGAACTCACGGACCGCAAGATCGTGACCTGGCTGAAGTCGGACGCTTAACCGACTGCGCCACCCAGGCGCCCCAGGATAGTCCTCATTTTAGATGGGACTTCCTCTTAACTCTTTTCCATTGTATTTGGCTTAACCGTTTTAAACACATTGCTGAAATTTGGGGGGTCAAATAACATGACTGCCATTGAAGTTTGATGTTACTTTGTTAGTAAATGATCCCCAGTGAAAGTAGGACCTCAGAGAGGATGCTTGAGAATGAAAATAACAACATTCCTCTAATTGAAGGCACCTCTCCCAGGCTATTTCCGCTGAAATTTTAAGCCTTCGGATTCAGAATTATTGAGGCATAAAACCTTTACATCAAATACATAAAAAAATGGGTGAATACAGTTGATGTAAATAAAAAATTTAGGGTGGTGGGATTAAAAAAAAGTGTGATCTTTTAGAATTTACATTAATGCTGAGGCTCAAGAGTAAGTCACTTAAAAATTACTTTAGAGCTTAAAATATATACACATTCATATATATATATATATATATATATATATCTATATCCATATATATACTCAGAATCTGGAACACACTGTATATTCAAATAATATGTTTTTAAATTTTCTTTTCCATATTCATATACCCAAGGAATATTTGACTGGGAAAAGAAATTGTCCTACCACATTTTACACATTCCAGAAGCTCTGTCATCACTAAGGGGGGTAGTTAGTTTCTAAATGCTAGTTAAAAAAATTTTTTTTCCCTTTTGGGGCACAATACAAAATGGGCCCACTGTCTTTTTAAAAAATGAGATTTTATCACCTAAAATCAATCAAAAAAGAAAAAAAAAACCCACCAACCCTCTCACTTGCATTTTATTTGTAACAAATTGAGAGGTAAAAGTTTGACATTCAATTTAAGGGTAAGAGAAATAAAAGCGATCGTTTCAATTTAAAATTACCTTGAGTGGCTCTACCAGCGTTCTGAATCTAAGATCCAGGCCATCTCTGGCCTGGTCCTCTCTGATGCCAAACTGGGGAAGGGGTCTGGAAGGACCGTTCATCAGGCCCTGAGCAGTGGGGCTATGCAGATGTCTGTTCCCATTTGTGAAATGGGTGTATCTCCTAACCTGAGATAAGCCTCAAATAATAGTGTACTTACTTTGGCCACACATATTTTACCTTTCCTTACCTTTCTTTGTTAAATGAACTTGAATTTAATTAACTTTTGTATGTCTCAATTTGTTCTCATAAAGTTAGAAAAGCTTAATGAAGACAGTGGTTTTTAATAGGATCATTTTATTTTTCATAGCTTTAAATCTTCAAAAAAGACTTAAGGATTTTCATGGCACCATAATGTAGGGAAATGCATCTGGAGGAGAAGTGGTCAGGCCTCAGGTGATGCGTCAGTTCCTGGAAGAGGCCTCCCAGGCACACAGGCTCCCTCATCTGAATCACTGTCTCCCGCTCTATTTGTCCTTGGCGGCCCTTGGTTACACGGCCTAATAAAAAGCCCGTGTTTTGCGTGGGATCATCTGTCTGCCCTACGTTCTCCTGACTAGACTTTATGTTCCACGAGGCAGGGTTCGAGCCGATTTTGAATCCCCAACAGCGACTGCACACTGGAGGGATCTGTAACAGGATTTCAGAGACCGGGGTGCTGAGTGACCGTGGACACAATCCAACAAGACTGAAAGCTGAGGAGGGGTTGTGCCCATGACTGCCACATTCCATCTCTACTCCCAGCCTCAAGGTCTGTTTACTGGCCAGTTATCAAAGTTAGTCTTTGGGTGTCCGAACAGAGGAAAAGGACATAAAGGGAAACATAAGTGCTAGGAAATAAAAGAGTATATACTTTATCGTCGATTAGGCTCAACATGTACTTTTTCTGTTCACAGACACCAGCTTCGATGCAACCTTTGGATGGGTGTCATCATACGCTCTAGCCACGGACACTGGGCAAACACACCAGCCCTGCAGAAAGACGGGTTACCTCTTCCAGGTCACTAGGAGCACCTCACATTGCTTCTGTGTTGTAAAAATGGTATTCTAGTGCCCGTAACTGTCATGGGCGCAAGAGAAGGGAACGGAGATTGCTGAAAAATTACAGTAAGACATTATGGCGCCACAAATGTTTTCCTTGCATATAGTTTAATTAAGTCTATAAGTACATTTTTCCTCAAATCTCCAAGGCAGATTTACATTTCAGCAGTCTTTACCATATGCCTGGTAATCTGTGTATGTGCAAATGTTTATTTTTATTTTAGAATGTTCTGTAACAAAACAATGTTGGTCCACAGCACACTGTCAAAGCACTGAACATCTTTATTATTCAGTCCATTTCAGGCCTTCTATTAGACAGGCTTTATTAGAGACACTGGTAGGAGCAATTTTAAGTGCAAACTGAAGTTGTGTCTCAGAAAGAACAGTTAAATATTCCTAAATCGTATCTATCAGCAGTGATTTGGCAGCACAGATACTCTCTGGTCATTCCTTCCGATTGCATTTGGTTCCCTTCTTTAAATTAGCATCTCATCCAAGACAGGCGCCATTTTTTCCATACAGAGCCGTCATCTGAATCCTTCTACCTGGGACCACAGCCTCCCCGGTCCTCCTCTACCACTGGAGCTGGACATTTGTGTGCCCGTTCTTAAACATACAATGGTTATGGTACAGGAAGAGATAACGGATGTGGGAATGTTTAGAAAAAAGGAGTATGCAACCTTATGGTGAATTATATTATACTCAGGAAATGAAGTCAACACTTCAGTTTGCTTTTTTCTTATATTTAAGTGGAAAGTGCGGTTTTGGTAATAGTTTCTTTCCTCTGGGACTCATTGGATGGAGATCACCTGACTAGTTGAAGTATCATAAATATCTCACTCCATCTTTATAAGCCAGAGTCAGTAAAGTGGCATTTTAAACGTATAATATATAATATCATCTATCAGTAGTCTTTGTTTTTCACAAATTGTTATTCTTGATTATTATCTTAAGGTTTTAACGATTATGATTTTCGGCCTCTAAAATGTCTCCCTCCGAGCCAACATAATACATGTTTTTGAAAAGTTTTAATCTGAGTTCTACCTGCTAACCTGAGAGTATGCCGATTCAAAAATGCTCTTCTTGTGATGAAGACAAAACACAACACAACACCAGGGGAGATTGTGGGGAAAACCCCCGGAACGTCGGCTGCCTTCTGAGACTCAAAGCCAATGACACAAAGCCATCAAGATGCGGGAGTTGCCCTCCCCCTTCCTGTTAGTTCTGCAAACCCGCCCGAGAGCATTTTTCATTTCATCTCCGTTGCTGCAAAAGCAAAACATGTCTACAGAGAAGGTAACAGCGAATATTGCCCTTTCTTCCTCTGAAAAGGAAAATGCTGGTTATACTAGAGCTCCACATGAATTTTACAAACATTTACTGGAACCACCAACCCTTCAAACCCTCAGTTCTATCTGTTTAAACCAGTGAATGGATAATTAATAGCAGCCTCCTTTTGCGGTTTTGACTAGATTGCCAGATTCTGCACATAGAGACTTCTTCCCTCCAACTCGCTTTTCCTGAGCTGTACTCTTCAATACGTCGTCTTAACAAAAATTAGCGTGTTAATTAAGCCTTCTTGGCAAGTAATTGCATGTTAAGGCTTTTTTTTTTTTTTAAAACAGATCTTTTGATTCCCTATATGAATGTAAAATAAAGGTTACTACAGTGCCATTTTCTTCTTTTTTTTTTTTAATGGCACAGAATTAATTTCTTCAGTAGGAAAATAAAGACCGAGCTCTATGGACAGAAGAACATTAAGACTAAAAAAATTCCCTTATATGCACATCACCATTTTTGTTTTCTCTATATCATAAGGAAATCAACACTTAATTTCAAGATTATCAGCAGTCTTGTGCAGGATGTAATTTTTCTATCTCCACTCATTCTAATGCAGGTACAAATATTATTCTAAAAGTAGCCTTCCAAATATTCACTTACAGGAACATTTCTACAGCTTTGCTGTTAATTTCTGACAGGTGGAATGAAACAAAGTAGGGCTGATATTGTGTTAACCCCTGCCCAGAGTGTCACATCTCTATTTTCAGGTAGGCAGTTTTGAAATAAGATGTTTCAGATACAACAGCCCATGAAAGATTTAGGCCAAAGGCCAAACTTGTCATTTACTCCTTGGCTGCTATTAGTTTCCATGTAAATGGAGAAGTAACTCGTTTTAAAGATCTTCTGTAAGTGCACAACGGATCAGACATTTAAACAAAGTCACTGGGTGAAGGAGTTTGGACCCGGTAACACAATCACATGCTTCATATCGAGGTGCTTCTTTATAACAGCGGTTTCATTACCAGAAATCAACTTCTACGATTTGCACAAACTTTACTCATTTTGTTACTGCTACAATCACAAAGCAAACCCTTTCATGGATAAATTATGAAGAAAAAGTCTTATAAAACAAATCAATCAGCAAGCATTAAAGTAGAATTACTTAATTATCAAAAAACCCCCAAAAAACAAAAACAAAAACAAAAAAAAACGAAAACCACAAAAAACCAGAGCCACTTACAGGGCTTGATGGAGTCTTTGGCCAGCCTGGGCTGCTAATGCTATCACTTTCATCTCCATGAAATGAGGAGATGCTAGCAGAGCTGGGGGACATTGGGGAAGGGACTGGCAGGTTGCCGGGGGTTGGGGGCTGAGATATACCCTGAGAGCTGTAGCTATCCTGTGGTAGAGGAATAAAAAAAAAAAAA